CAGTCATACTCAACCCCAAGTAGATTAATTAGCACTCTCAAACTATACTAACCACTAAGTTATAAAATCTTGTTAGAAAATTACAATTTTTTCGAGAACAATTTATGAGCTAAGCAATCTTTTGGGCTCTATTAATCTTTTGCATCATCTTATTTGTTTTGTTTTTAGTTGAACGGAATATATTTGTGTTTGTTTGATTAATTTCAGAGATGAACATGTCTCTTGGTAAACACTTTCTCGCAAATCCACCAAAGTTAAAACACTCGAATCGAATCCTAAATAACCAAGTGGTCCACACACATTGTTTACACACGATGAAATGGCTCCCAGAACCATAGAAAGCTTATTATATCGTTGGATTACAACTAATATCACTGTGCCACCACGCACGGTTTATTTTGTTTCTCCGCAATTTTCCACAAACTATTTGTTTTCATAAAACACAGTTAATTATATATCGGTTATACGAATAAGTTAGTTGCATCAACATCTAAACAATGCTTACAGACAAAGCTTTAAAGTTTAAACATAGATTTCAACGTAAAGAAACCTGTCTAAATTTTTTTTAGAGATATTTTTTTCAGTTTCATTTCATTTGATGTTTTCCAAATTTTTTACGCATATTTTTTTTTTTTGATATTTTGTATTGTCACTTTTATAATTTGCAGAATTATTTTAAATTAAATAGTAAGAGTTGTTTCAACAAAAAAAATTAATCTTTGCGATCCTAACCTAAATATCTTATATTTCGACGAAATACTAAAGAATATAGACATATATATACGCATTCACAAAACATTACGAGTAATCTATTTCATAAGTGGGAACCATGGACTTGTGTCGAGAGTCGAGACCACTAATTATAGCTTTAGAGAAAGTAATTACAAAGGGAGTGAGTGAGAAATAAAGAGAATGAGAGCTAAATTAGGAGAAGTAAACACAAGTGGACTTTATCCCAATATTCCCATTTGGGAAAAGGGTATGTAGTGACGTCATTAGGAGTCATCATCGGCGAGAATAAAGGAACCGTC